AGATTTTACCTTACATACACATTTTTAAAGGTACCATTTATTTATCTGTATTCTTGGTTGCATGAACTCTTTGGGAAGCTCCTAGTGACATTAATTCATTTGGTTTGATTTTGTTTATAATAGTTCACTATTCTTAGCTGAACTGACATCATTTTTTGTTATGTATCCATGTTTCCTTTGGTAAATTGCACAAGCCTTAGAACTTATCCTCCCTCTTGAAATGTTTGTCACTTTTTCAAGGATTTTCTAAGGAATTTTTCTAGAGTTTTTAAAATATGCTTTCTTTGAAATCTAGCAAATTGTACCCAAGAGTCTTCTAGGAATATTATGTTAACACATTCTTTCTTTCAGAGTTATCATATTTGCATATCATGAGGCAGCTCTGCATTGTTGGCAATATTTAAATTCAGATAAGTAGCTTCTATTATTGTCCTTTTAGAGACCTAAAACATTAAGTCTCAGCAAAGCTAGTCATGAAGTTATAAGATACTCAGTTTCTAAGAGAACAAATTTGAAAACATTTGACTAGTTGACTTGGCCCAATTCACCAATTTCTATTGTAAGTAACACCTGATTGATTCCAAAATGAACTTCCATATAGATTCCATCCCTCTGTACTCTTTAAATGATCTGCCCTTAGTGCCCTATTTCTTTTCAAAATATGTTTCCTGTAGTACTCTGATTTCCTCTCCTGGCTTCAGCTATCTCTTCCAAAACTCCAAACTCTGTCTCTAGCTCTGACTCCTCTTCTGATCCGACTATTCAGCTTTCCAATTGCCTAGTAGATAACTCCACCTGGTTTTCCAAAGACACCTCCAACTTGGTATGAATCCACCATCTTCCCTCCCAAACTCATTCTTGCTTCTCCTGAATTTCCTGTTTCTGTTAGGGATTCTGCTTTCCTCACAGTTAAGAGCCTTGGACTTCATTTGGCCTCTTTCTCTCCTGTATCCACATGTCATCAGTTGTCAAGTTCTGCCAATTGTAACTCCCTAGTATCTGTGACCTATACACCCATTGCTATTTCTTAATCCAACTGTGAGTCTTCTGTATGAATTGTGCTCTCATTTTCCCCAAGCTCTCCCCCTTCAATATCTGCTAGGCAATGAAGCTCCATTAAAGTTCTTCAAACATGGTTTTATCATTCCTTCTCCCTGAAAACCTTTCATTGTCCCCTATTTCGATATATACATAAATTCCAAACCCAGTGTTATGCCATTCAGCACCCTTATTGAGGATCTATCCTCATCCTTATCTTATTCCCACTATTTCTTGTATAGCAACTTAGATGCTAGACTTACTGCTCCAAATAATATCTGATTTTCTACATCCAGATTTTGCTTACAGTCTTTGACCTGAATGTCCTTTCTTCCTACTCCTGAGTCTCCAAGCAACTATTCAAAATACTCTAGTAAGATGCTACTTCAAAACCTCTCCTTAGAGATAGATGAGATGATAGATGACTTTTTAACAAAGTTAAAAAGCCTCTCCTAATCATATCAGCTAGACCTCTCCAAATCTCCCCCCAACTCTTATACTACATTATTTGTGCATTTATTATTATATTTATCACTTCATTTCATGACTCTCGTTACAAATGTTTTTTTCTTTATGAGAATGTAAATTCTCATAAATGTATCTTTGCAATACATTTCACAAATGTATCTACTTTTGAATAATTTTTTAAGATTTATTTATTTATACAAGAACTGGGGTACAGGCCAGATGTGTGAGGATTCACCAGAGACAGAGCAGGGAACAGAACAGGCAAACTGAAGAAATACACTGCTGAGGGGAGCAGCGGGCGAGACAGGAGAGGTCTGCCATGACATGTGGGACCCTCGCCGGCAGGCTGCGATCAAACCGGCACTGCAGAGGCTGCAGACAGCTTCACAGCACTGAGCTCAACCACCTGTGCCACCAGGGGAGGCCCTATTTTTGAATAATTTTTAAACATTGCACAACTCCTAACATCATCTTCAATGTAGTATTTGTACATAAGTACGTAAATATTAGATAAATTAATATTAAATAGCTTGAGATCAATCCTGCCTTCTTGACAGATTCAGGCATGTTAAAATGTTAGCTAATTATTAATCAATAATATCTCTAGAATACTCACACTCCTAAGTGTTGTGCCTACCTTTATCAAGTATGTAATTGCAGAAATATCACTGACTCATAGTCACAACAGTTTATAGCTGCACAGGTAAATAAATGTTTTCAAAATAATTAGGAGGTAGCCTTCTACAGAATTGGAATTTATGGATGTCCATTGCTGAAATATTCCCAATAGGCTAAAAATCTAGGCAATTGTTCACTGAACATAGTGTTTTATTAGCTGAACACCGAAGAAGCAAACAGGAATATAAGTTATTCACTGTGGTTAAGATTAACAAATATTTGATATGTGAGGTTACACAGGTGTCCACAGAGATGATTAAGCTTTTGAGGAAATTTTGGGAAGAAGATGGCATTTCACATCTATTTGGTCCAACTAATTTGGAAGGAATTAACTGGCTATGAAAATGTCTGGTACACTAATAATAAAGCTAGCTATACAACTTAAGGTTGACTTAAAGTTTATTCAGTCATAAAGAAACTAAATTTTTACCATATTATTCTTTTGTAGTGCTTATAGGTTATGAAATTTGACAAAAGGATAACTTGCTGATGATGAATATCTTATGAGGAAAATGCACTCCTATCTTATAATTATCCCTCCTCCATTATAAAATTCCCTTCTTAACTACCTAGACTGATATGAGGAAGGCATCACATTACCGCTGACAGACAAAATATTGGTATTCCTTAGCAACCGTCCATAAGCTTGGTGTTGCCAAAACACTTCAGACGCCTGCCTCTGCCCATGGCTTTCATTACCTTATTATTAATCCCAAGATAAAACCAGTTCAAACAGGCTGTCCACAGGGTGGGGAAGCGTGGCTGGCTTCGGCATCCCTGACACCCATGCACAATGTCCTCTTTTAGGAGGACTGTCCGTGGAGAGGCAGATGGTGACACGCTGCATGCGGGAGGGTAAAGACGAACTCCTGTCACAAGGCCTGCTCCAGTTGCTGACTGTGCTGGTTCTGCCTCCAGGCCACAGTATTCATGATGGAGAGGACAATGAGGGAAGCTGTGAAAAGTTGGCCTAATTTCCCAGTCAGGGAAATGGTAAAGTAAATTGCCTATGGTGTGGAGGCTGAACTCAGATCGCCTGGGGTTCAATTCCTGGTTCTGCCACTTATTAGTTGCAAGAACTTGGATTAGCTAGCTAATCTCCCTAAACTTCCATTTCCTCTTCTGTAAAATGAAATTTATTACCATATCTCTTTGCTATTATGACTACTAAGCAAAATATTATGATATCTCTTTGTTATTATGACTATTAACTGAAAAGAATGCCTGGAAAATAGCTACCAAAGTGTTTGACACAATAAAAAAACTTAAAATATTACTAATATTTGCTCAGTAACAGCCTATAGATATTATGGAGAATTGGATCACAGAGGTTTTCATAGTTTTTGTTCCTAATCAGCAGATGTCATCCAAAGAAAAGTGATTTTGAAGACCCAGGCTTGCTGCTGGGCTATTTGTTTTCCAACAGCTTATGAAATTTAAAAAGCAATACTGGTGAAGTCATGCCTTCTTATACACAAAGGAGACATGACACAGAGCTGAAGAGCAACGTGTTGTTTTTATTCAACAAATGTACCTGAACTTACACATCAAACAGGAGTTTTTATCTTCAAAGGAGTCACATCAGGAAACCATGTACTTATTTCAATAATGCTGCCAAATATTTTTGGAAGTCTTCCTTCTAAATTACCTCTGAGCCTCCTTCAAGTTCTTTTAGATGTCTCCATTGGCCCCAAAAAAAAAATCCTTTGGGAATTTTCAATTTTGAAAGCAAATATAAAGCCAACTCTTACAAATAATATAGAGGTAATGGCACCACAAAGAGAGGCCTTTTGTACAGTTTATAAAATATCTCAATTCCAGACAAAGAATCAATAAAACTTTTCACACCAATGAAAGCATCATCAGGATTAGTGTATTGCTTTCTGCATGATTAAAAAGTTACATGTTTATTTGCTTTGTTAAATAACAGCACTATGTGTTGAGCACATTTCTATGAACTTTTTACATAAACTCATTTAATACTCATATCTTATGATATAAACACCCTTCTTATCCCCATTTTACAGATGAGGTAGGTCATTGAAGCACAGAGTGGTAAAGAATTTTGTCCAAGGACATAATAAGTGATAGAGTCAGAAACTGAACCCACACGGTCTCTATAGTATATACGTGGTATTTTCTAAAAAGTACCTCTGTGCATTAATTGTTATGCTCTCTGGGTTTTTTGAGATGATTTTATTTAAACTTGGTGAAAGATACTTTAACTGTCTATAAATTTCTTAAATTCCCATTAAAAGCCCTTTTAGCATTAACAAGAATTATCTGATCCCCTTATGCATCTTCCCATAGCAAGTTATACAACCAGGAAGCAATTCTACTTGCTAGCTTACTGCTGTTTCTGAAATCTGTAGGCTATTTTCCCCACCTAAACAGACCTTTTACCCAGCAGTTTCTTCAGCCTCATGCCAGGAACAGTGTCTCTCTCAAAATGTTTCCTCATGCCTGTTTCAAAATTCCCTCCTTAAATAAATTTAGTTTTTCCATTGCATCACTTAATGATGATGCAAATGGGGTGTTGACAAATGGGGTGTTGGAGAAGTGGAGTAGGGAAGAAAAGACATTAAAATATTTTTAAGTTCTCTTTGAAAAAGCACATTTTATTACTTTCCGTCAGCAAAAGGCCTTGAATGTCTCATTTTGCTCTCCTTTGCTTTGAAATATGAGTTTCCAAAGCAACTTCATACAATGCCAAGCGCATACCCTGGCCAGTCATTCGATGATGACAACAACCCCAGGAAAACATATTTTAGCAAATTGGAAAAATAGATTATTCTGGAACATTTTTTTTATTTCAGGATAAAAGAAAAATACAGGAAGAAATCTCAGAGAAACGTTTGAAAATAGAGGAAGAAAAACTAAGGCACCAGCATTTGAAGGTAACTTATGATTTTAATTTCATTTCAATGATTTTGTATACAAACATTCTAATGGCACTCAAATTTCAATAGTAAAAGGAGGGAAAATTTGCAACGTAATTCTACTAACACCTTAATAAGCATTGAGGAGGCCAAAAACAAGTAATATTTACATATGAGATTAATACTATCTGGCAAATATGGAACATGGAAAACATGGTTTTATTACTTTTACCCTTTCTTGCTGAATTTCCTCATTTTCTTGGGTAACCTTGAGAGCTCAGCCTTGACAATTTGCCCCTGAACACAGTCTTGCTTAGCATCCCTAGGGAACAGACCCAGCTAGGAAGTCCCTTTTGAAATCAATGAAAGGCCAGCCTTTCCCCAGGGGCGCAGAGCAGACGCTGTCTGGCCCCATCAAGGATGCTTGTATTTAAAAGCTCAGAGCAATGAAATCCAATGTTATTTGAGTGTGTTTTGGGTTTTGCTTCATTCTGTTTCAACAGAACATGAGATCATAACCAGAAATAAACCTCCATTTTTAAAATCAGACTTTACATCTTTCACGGGTGTGGTCATTTTGTAATTAAAGCACATTGAGTTTCAACATTTTATTGCGTAGCTTAGTCACAGGATGCAACCAAATGACAAACAGGAGCTCCTTGTGAACAGGCCCAAGCAGGAAACTACTTATCTGGCAGGGCTGCTATCAATAGATTTAATGAATCCTTCAATGAAACAATGCCTCGTGTTCCTGGGGTCTATAAACCTAACTTACCTAATTCAGCAAAATCCATCTTTCTGATGGACAAAGTAACCACTAAAAATAAACATAATATAAGATCCAATTAGTCACAGTTCTCTGGATTCTGTTTGCTTCTTTACTCCTATATAAATGGACATTTGCTATGTTGGATGGAAAATGTCAAAGCATAGTTAGCCTGCTATCTTCACAGTATGTCATGCTGAATTTTCGTTAAGTAGTTGACATAGCCAGGAAATGAGTGTCGACTCATTCATAGAAGAAAACCAAAGAAATGATAGCAGATATTACTAAGTTTGCCAGGCAAATGTCATAACCACTACACTACAGAAACCTGCTAAGTTTTTTCAGTGCGACTTGAAGTCAAAAGTCAAATCTATTTTGTTCCCTTATATAAGACATCAATGTAAAAAAAATAATAACAGTACAAAACACAACAGAGCAAAAACGGACAATTATAAATCAGAGACATCCTGCAGGGGAGGAGGAGGGAGAGGGATCAGAGGGAGGGAGGGACACAGGGGACTGAGGTGATGGTGCACAGGTGCCTTAGGGAAGGAAACTCTATGGGGACTCCACCTGAGGGGGTGGGGGGGAAGCAAATATTGTTCAAAAATGAACAACGATGTGAAAAAATAAAAATTTTATTAAAAAATTAAAAAATGATAAAAAACTCAAATTGATAACAGTTTTGAGATAGGCCATTTCTAACTCCATAACCAGTATTTGTCCCCTCCCTAGCCCCATCCTCTTTTATCGGTCCTTCCCTTTAACATCTCTCACTCCATTTCTCTTTTTTCACACACAAATTATATACAATTTGGGTCTCAGAAGAACAAAGTTCTGCTTCTGAGCTCTTAAGGACTAAGCAAGCAATATCATCCTTGCAAACTGGATAACTGAACAACAGCAGAGTTCACAGTAGAAAAGTTTAATTTTTTTTAAAGATTTATTTTTATTCATGCATACAAGAACTGGGGTACAAGCTAGACATGGGGGGGGTCACGGGGAGCTGAGAGGATTCACCAGAGCCTGAGTGGGGAGAAGAAGAGGCAGATCTACTGAAATACACTGCTGAGGGGAGCAGCGGGCAAGACAGGAAAGGTCTGCTGTGCCATGTCGGTTAGCTCCCTGGTGGGGGATCGAACTCAGGCCACAGTGGCTGGTGATAGCTTGACAGCACTAAGACTTTAACCCCTGTACCACCAGGGAGGCTCAGAAGAGTTCAAATAGCATCTCTGATCATTCCAGAAAGAAAGTTTCACAAAGGAAAGTTCTGGCTCGTTGAAAGGCCCATTTCTGAAGTGGGACCTCATTTTCAACACTTGCCAAATATAGTCCAAAAAGTAATATATGATCTTCCCAATAGGTTTGTTCTCTGGAACTCAGGAGCTCTCCTCTAACCCTGTCCAATCAAAACATGTGTTATGTTCCGGACTGCTGTATACAGTTGTGCAGGTTGTGTGCTGCACAAAGATGCCTAAGAGTGGTGCAAAAATCCTGCCCTTACTGCCTTGGAACCATGCACCGTGGTATGGGGCTGCTTCTCTCTGGAGGAAGAAGTTTCTTTTTCTCTTCAGAAAGGTGTTATCCACCTTCCTAAGCTGTGCACTGGCCCAAAGGGGTGGGATGGGGAAATGTATCTCTTCCTAATCTACATATTTATGCCATAGAGACTAGTTGTGGTCCTGGAGGGTTGTAGCCCTTCGGCCTGCAAGCTAGTGGGAAATTCAATATTAAATAAGAAATGATTTTTTTTAATATGGTATAAGCAGTAATTCTTTGGGTGGTTAAAGAAGTCTCTAATATTAAAGGTGTGTGATTTAAGTGGAATTTTATCAGATCAGTAGAATTTATACAGGTATACATTTAAAGAAATAGGGCATTTAAGTCAATAAATATTAAGTATCTATTATGTGCAATGCAATAATGGACTAAGAATATAAAGGTTGATCTGTGCCCTTAAAAAGGTAACTGAAGCAAACTCATAGTGACAGTTACAGGGTGATGAACACTATATGCAAGGCTTTAACTGCAAAGGAAATAGAGAAAAAAGTAGCTGTTTCAAAAAAGCACTATTCTGCCAAGCTTTTCAGAAAATAGTTGACTGCACTAAACAGCAACTAGTTCTATTTCCAAAACAGTTCAAAAATGTGCAGAAGTATTTTAAAAATCGATTCCAGTTACGTTCCCTTCTCACCACTTTTCTAATTGCAAACTATTTCATTATACTTTTATGACCCACTTTAAACAACATAACATACATTTACAAAGTGGTCTCTCTGTATCAATAGTGCACATATTTTAAAGTTGCTGTAGGGATACACTCTGATATTCCTTAGCTCCAGAAACTGACACTCATACTGATGAGGTGCTGGAAAGAGAGCCCTTACGACAGAGTTAGCATCCTAATATTCCAACATGTCTGAGATTTGTGCATTATGGATTTCCTTGCCTGGTGACATGACTATTATCTGATGTCACCAAGAAACACAAAATTCACTCAAACTAGAAAACGTCTTTCCTGCAAGTCCATTTAATTGAAGGTATGAAAAATTAACTTTTTCATAAAGTCTACTCTAACTGCTGTGTACAAGATACAAGTATTTCAGAAAAACCCCGTCCCTAAAAACTGCCAAAATCTCTATTACCCACATGTCACTTATATCTATTTACTTAATATCATTTTTAACTATTTGTGAAATAGATTTTATTATATTCATTAGCCATACATACATAAAGCACAAGTCTCGGGTCTGGTGTGATGAACACTATATGAAACTCTACACCTAAAACATACACTGTTATAAACAATGTCACCTCAATAAACAAGTTTAACAAAAAAGCACAAGTGTATACTGTGAATTATGTTTTAATTATTATGTGGTTGTATGTATCATTTTTGTTGCACGTCCAAATTGTATATTTTATATCTAGATGCAAAAAGTTCTCACTCAGATTTCAGCAACTATTCATGAATTATGAACAAAATTATAAAGGCTAAAATTAAAATTATTCCCATTCCTAACTAGACAAAGTTCAAAGACCCTACTCCCTGATCACTTAACTTGATCTTATCACTTGAATCATCTGCCCTCTGCTACTCAACATTGTAAAACCATACCAGCTGAGTGTTTTACAGTGATATGGACATAATTGACTGGAACTACCCTTGTAGGTGGTTTATAAGGGCTGTAATTTACTTTGATAGTTGTCATCTGTCTTCTTTAGTATGATTATCATCCTATTCCATCAAATAAAAAATAAATTAAAAATCAAGGTAAATTCTTAAAATGCTGATATACTTAGATTTTATTGGCATCTTTGACCTCAGGAACTAAAGCTTGACCTCTGTTAATAATATTTACTGTACTGTGGGAAAATATTTTTACAACAGCTGAATAGCTGTAATTAAGGGTTAAGATATCAGTGTGAAGAAACAATCTCTGGCTACAAACTGAAGCAACAAAAACCCCTCTTTTTGTGGTGTTGTCCACCAGCAAATGCTTGAGATTCAGAAAAGGCCAGCACAGATGATGACATGGGGTGAGGCTGTTACTTACTCTAGTGGTTTGAAATTGTGTTCTGGGAAAATTCAGACTTCCAGGAGCCCTCACTGCTTCCATGAGAGCAGTTTTATCTAGTGTACAAATTATAAATTAATATTGGGTAGAATTTTAATCAGTGTAACATTTTTTAATGGCTTGAAAACCACTGCCTTAGTCAAAATAAACCTTCGTTGGTAATTATTTAGCATCATCAACCTTATTTAATTTTTAAACTCAGAGATATTTATTTCCAGGGATATTCACTAGAATAGCCTTCTAAAAAAGGCCAAAAAATTCTGACTTGCTCTCATTTTTGTTGCCATGTTAGAGAAATTCCAGAAAATAAAGTTCCCATTTTCCTCTTGCCATTTTATCCATTGACATATTATTGAAGCTATAGCTATTTTTAATACTTTTGTCCTTTAAGTAAAAGACAGCGGATGGCTTCATTTTTTTGCAGAATATAAATAACCATAGAAAACAAACTGACAAAACACAACAAAAATAATTCTTAGTCTCTGAAAAATAGTGGTCGCCAGAGGGGTGTAGGGGAGAGGAGAGGAAAGGATATCAACACTGGAGCTTTGGTGCAGGGTGAGTGAAGCTTGTGTTCACATGGAGGGGTGACATGGGGCTCCCAAAGTCACTGTCATGTAGATTGACCCATCAATACTATTTGAGAATAAATGCATCATAAAGACTTTTGTGGGGGGGGGGGGGGTTTGTTTTTGGTTTTTGTTTTTTTTTTTTTTTTGCACAGATGAGCTGGGGTGCAGGCCAGAGGCACGGGTATGTGGGGCTGATAGGAACCACCAGAGACAGAGTGGGGAGCAGAACAAAGAGATCTATTGAAATACACTGCTAAGGGGAGTGAGGTGAGACAGGAGAGGTCTGCTGCACATATGTGGGTTAGCTCCCTGGCCGGGGACTGAACTCAGGCCATAGCTGTGAGCATGGAGAGACTTACCCCCTAGGCCATGAGGAGCCCCAGTACTTTTGTTCTTTAACCTTTACTAGAAAGTAGTTGATCATCATCATGTCACAGCATGTCACAGCTCCAGGGTTTTCATTTTTTTAAAAAACTTATTTATTCATGCATACAAGAACCGGGGTACAGGCCAGATGTGCGGGAGCGTGAGAGGATTCACCAGAGAGAGAGAGCAGGAACAGAACAGGCAGACTGACTGAAATACACTGCTGAGGGGAGTAGCAGGCGAGCCGGGAGATGTCTTCTGTGCCATGTGGGTAGCTCCCTGGCCGGCCAGGAATTGAACCCATGCTACAGAGGCTGCAGACAGCTTCATAGCACTGTGCTCAATCCCCTGCACCACCAAGGAAGCCCGTCTCTATGGTTTTCTGAACCTGACTACCCGCTTACCTTCTCTGGGGTGCTGTGTTTTCATGCCCTTGGTTAGCATCCTTTGGTTTCAGCTTGAAGAACTTTCAGCATTTCTTGTAAGACGATATAAGCAATGATGAATCCCCCAGTTTCTCACCGTATTAGACACAGTCCATTCCCCGTTGCAAATAATTTGCAATGGCAGAAAGTGACTTTTCTTCAAGTAAAAGAGAAACTCAAACTGAAAATTGCAGTACAGTCATCCTCCTGTTTTCGAAAATTCTAGTTAAGCCACTTTGCTTTCATGAGTGGCCTCAGCAGGCAGCACATGCTGCCACAAAGCAGATGCTTCCACTGTGCTGGCTTTTCAGCTTTTGTCGTAAAGGTAGAAATCATTTTTGCGTTTGTTGCAGGCAGCAAAAACAGCTATCGAAGTAGTCTTAGTGGTGACAAATCCTCTCACTTCTCACCATTTTTCACACAGGCCGTTTCCAGGGAATAATTGGTGAATGAATACTTTGCAAACGCAAATATCAAAGTGGCTTTAAGGAACATTTTACTTTGTTAAGGACACAAGATAGACATCCACCCGTCAAACAAATTACAGTGAAGATCACATGATGAGGGCCCTCTCGCTACAGACAGGCAGTGTGGTGTGTGCAAACACACAGAGCTGCCTAACTGAAGAGTTCTCTGAGGGTCAGGAGAGGGCTGGGGCAGAGGCTGCAAGATAGAGGGCATCATAGAGAAGAAGGGGATTAAACTAGACCTCGAGGACAAAATACAAAGTAGATACATAACTGGCTTTGGAAGGGGGACAACAAAGTCTGGTAAGGCAGTGAGAGAAAGTGATTTCTCTTTACTATATGCACGATTGAAATTCATAAGATTTGAAAGCAGACAGAGATGTTCAAAATTGTTAATTGATATAAGAACTTATCTTTTTGTTTCCTGGTATCAGAAAAAGGCCTTGAGGGAGAAATGGCTTCTAGATGGAATCAGCAGCGGAAAAGAACAGGAAGAGATGAAGAAGCAAAATCAACAAGACCACCACCAGATTCAGCTTCTAGAACAAAGTATCCTCAGGTATGGACCTCACAGATACTCCATGTCTACCTTTGCCTTTTGACTTTGTTCCATGTTGTATGTGCAAGACTAATCCTCATTCTGACAGGACAATCAGATCTTCCAGTTGGATTTCTAATAAAGACTGAGGAAATACAGCAGCAGGCAACATCTGAAATTTTACTGTGTCACCTATGCACAGCAACACAAGACTTATTTTTAAAATACATACTGGTGACTTACCTGCAGCTCTCTGATCTTATTTCCTCATCTACGAAATGGTAGTAGCATTATTGATTTTTTAGAGATGAGCAGGTTAAAAAAATATATATGTTAAGCTGCTAGTACTTACCTGACACCAAACAGTGATTATAAGAGTTCACAACCCCAACCCCACTCGCACTTAGGACAGAAAACAGGTTTTTTTTTTTTTAAGATTTATTTATTTATGCATACAATAGCTAGGGTGCAGGCCAGAGATGCAGGGGGTAAGAGGATTCACCAGAGATTGAGTAGGGAACAGAACAGGCAGATTGACTGAAATACACTGCAGAGGGGAGCAGCGGGCGAGTCAGGAGAGGTCTGCTGTGCCATGTGGGTCACCTCCCTGACCTGGGATGGAACTTGTGCTGCAGTGGCTGCCAATAGCTTCATAATGCTGTGTCTTAACCCCTTGTGCCACCATAGAGGCCACCAATTAACAGTTTTAAGGGCATTTTACACCATCACACCTCTCCCAGGCCCTCCCCAGTCACCACCATGATATTTTGGAAGAGCAGACACTCTAGAAGTACTCCGTAACATTCTCCCTCTTCTATTTCCTCTTTGATCACAGTCGTTGCCTTCACTTCTCCATGCCCTTCCCTCCCCATCGTACATAGTAGTCAGCAACTTCTGATATACCCATAAAGTTTTTAAATTGCCTTGACTTAAAATGATGTGACAGACATGGAAAAATTGCAAAGTGCAAAGATAAGATGGTATTATTAGTATTATCACAAAATATTGATAGCCTGGAAGAAAGAGATATGGAGAATGTCAGAAGCATTTTGTAACCTATGTAGAAAGAAGATGGAATTTCTGCTGGGACAAATAATGACAATCATTTAAAACATGTATCTTGGAAACACAGTTAATGTTCAAAACCTCACTCCCTGCAAATTTTTATGTTTAGTGAAAATTATAAGAAAGGCCTAGAAGATAAAAATATCCAATCGTGGTGGTAGGACCATATTTTATCTTTACCATATCATACAAACTGATGGCATCAGGCTTAAAATTGACAGGGGGAAAAAAAAAAAAAACTTCCTTTTTTCAAGCAATTTCCACTTTATTTACTTAATTATCTGCACTTCTATATTTAATAGTGAAAATCATTGACTACTCAGGCTTATTTAGGTGGTTTTTAAGTAATAATTCTTTAAAAGTTCATGTGATATACTTTTACATTTATAAATTTCTCAGTTGTTTGCTCAAAGATTTGAAGTGCTTCTGAATGACAGATACAAATACTCAAAAAATCAACTCTACAATTTGGGAAACTTGATTCTGTTAAGGCCTCCTTTAGCAAGAGCTTTTTACCAACATCTGCCTTAGCCGATTACTTTCCTCATTCCTCATTGCAGAGCCGGTATCTCCGCAGATGTGCTAGACTTAATCCCTGGACTTGCTTCCTTCAAGTCCCCTCCTTAGAGTCTCTCCAAATACTAAACACCTACAACTTTCTCTGTAGCTGATGATAATCGAAGTGGCAACATACACTCAAACTCCATTAGAAAGTCTGGGCAGCATTCTGAGTAATCCCACAGAAACCTGGACCTACTGATGACTTTCAGGTCTTGCCTGAATGCTCTAAGGAGCACATGAGCTTCAAGTGGAATTGATAGCATCTCGCCTAGTTAAATCTCCTATGTGACACAACAACAACAAAAAAAAAGGAAGAGAAAGATATTTACTGAGCCATATTACATGCAGGCACTTTATAAACATCATCCCATTTAATCTCCATAACCCTGCAAGGCAACTACTATTATCTTCATTTTCTGCAGAGAGTAAAGAATTCACACAAGGAAGAAGTAACAGATCAGAGACTAATGCATTTGACTGCTCTGTGCTGCCTATTAAATAACCACCCATAGCAACCCCTCTGGACTGAAAAACTCTTAACTCCTAGAGAAAGTCTTGGCAGCAAGTTCTTGGTTCTCTCTTCTCCAAACAGCACACACTGCACTTGGTATCTTCATCCCTGGCCTCCTAATGTCTTTGTTCAATTACCAATTACATGTCTGTTCAATGTGCAAAGTTGTCATCTTACTACCAATTTATTTTATATCTTCAGGATGCCATTAACCAAATGATTTTAATCCCCAAATGTAAATAATAACAATATGGTTCATTTTTAAAATGGCCTAGAGCAATTTACAAGGAACTTGCACTTACACTGTGATTTATCACTCACAGCAGTCCTAGAAAGGAAGCATGACACCTCCATTTCATAAATGAGGCAATAGGCTCAGAGAAGATAAGAGACTTAATTAAGGTCACACAGCCTGTGAAGGATAGACATGAGGCTCAAAAGCATGTCAGATTCAATTTTCTCCTGCAGTAAAATGAAAAGATACCTGCAAGTGTAAATGTTCTGGATATAGTAAAACACCTAACAACAAACTGCTTAGTTTAAGAAATGGTCCAAAAAAGATGTATTTGCAAATAGTAAGGATTTGCATCATTGTGGCCCACAAAGGCATGTTTATTTTGTTAAACATGTTCAGGAAACAATGTGCTAAAGCAACATTCAGAGATAAAACATGTCCATGCTTTGTATTAAGCAGCCTCTACTACTGCCCAGCTCTACAGAAATCCCGCAGCCAACATAGCTTTACCTGATAACTGAGCACTTCCTCCCCAGATATTCCTAAAGCTGCTAAATAATCAGTTACACGTTTCTAAATTCAATCTTTGCCCTAAGCAACTACTCACAGTGCTCAAGAAGCTTTTCCTTAGCAGCTCAATACAGTATATTTTCCAGTTAGTTCTGAATAGCAACCAAACCAACTAATGAAGTTGAACCAGGCCAAGCCATCCTTCTTCCCTGAACAGGGAAAGTGATTTATCACTTGACTTTGGTGTCTGCTCAAGAGTGACATTTGCCATCTGCCAGGCCTCTCAGCAAGAGGATAAGGCTTTAATAGGAATATCAAAATAGAAATATTGCTATTACCTCAGAGGCTGCAACAGGGCCAGACTTTCCCTGTGACGTTCCATCCCTTCTACTTCCACAGTTTTGTATGATGAACTGAAAGAGCAAGGCCTTTGGCATTTCAAACCCTGTCTGTCCACCACAGTACTTAAGTTTGGCCATGTTCATCTTTTCAGGCCTTGGTTGGTTTCCTTGTCTGTAGTAGTGGCACAGCTACAGCCACTTCATAGGACTGCTATGTGTAAATCAACTTTCATGCCTGACACATGGGAGGTGTTCAAAAACTATTGGATACTACTCCTTATTAAGAATCAAAAATAACTCAAAGAAGGACACTGCCTAAAGCTTTATCCAACAGTCTTCATTAGTTAGCCAAGATCTCTCATTTCTTTATGCCAAGATTTCCTTATTTCTTTGAAGAAACTGAGATCATCATACAACTAAGATACTTTCATTTGAGAATAATCTATGGATTTTCTTTATGGCTTGAAGACCAAAATGCTAATAACAGAGATTAATTTTTACAGAACATTTGTTATTGACCAGACACTGTGCTAAGCACTCCACATATTATTTCATTGAATTCTCATAGCTACCTTCTGAGGTAAACAGCATTTAACAGACGAGAAAATTGACATTGATAGAGGTTAACTTGCCTCAAGTCAGACAGCTAAAAAACTGAGTACCAGGCATTAAAATCAAATTAAAAGTACTAATCATAAAAATAAAATTGTGACTCAAATCCTGCAGAAAAACAGTAGGAAAGTTAAATCATATAAATGCTTACAGGATTTTGCAGCATTTTTTACTTCCAATCTATCTTGATTTCACTCTTACAGGCCTCATTTTATCGAGATGTTCATGTCACCATTTTACCACATTAAAAACCACTCAGAGTTTCCCTGACTCACACATAACCTTTAAGTAAAGCAAATGTCCTTATTCATCCTCTCATCTTTTCTTCCAAAGAGAAGGAACATTTCAGAAAATAAGTGGGTTTCCATGGTTTTTGTCCTTGAGTCACAGTCTTAGCTTAGGAACAATATTATGGAGTATTTTGCCTGGTTTCCTGATTAATATCTTAGGAGGAAATGTTGCCGGGAGGAAAGCTATATTGAACACCTCCTTCTGAATCACTTTGCTTAAATAGAGTTTCAATTTGCTTCACAAATGAGCCTGCTCTTACCGTGACCACTGAAGCGTTTGCATCCTGACTGTTGGTACACGTGCAAACCCAGCAGCCACTGCTCAGTTCCAACATCCAATGCATACATTTACGGGCTGACTTAGAAATTCTATTCTGTTACTTCCATTGCTTTCCTCCATCCAAAACAACACCCCAAGATCATCAGAAGCATCCCAAGAGCTACGCTGTTCGTTGCCTGGACTCTCCTTCCTATCTAACTGCCCTGCAGTTCTCCATGACTCTCTCTGCCAAACTGCCTTCCATCACACTCCCCTCCAGATACTTGCTACTTCTTGGAATGTTTCCAAAGACCTCTGACTGTAACTGGAGCACTCAGAGAGCCTGACAGAAATGTCATAAGCATAAAACACAAAAGGTTAACTGCCAAGGAGAAAGATACACATACACAGTATTCCCTTCGAGAAGCATTAGCTACATATGATTAAATGTTCTCTAGCAAGGATTTTCTTTTAAGATTCCAAAGCGCCCTTCTGACCCTCAGCCTTCCTGTGACCTTTCATTTGTCTCCAAATATTTACCTATACCTTCTGCCTATGTTGCTAGTGGACAGAGGTGCACACGAAGCATTGGATTTCTTGGTGACTGTCATGAGAAAGTGGAAGAGTAGGCCATAAC